ATCAGTGCGTCTTATATTATACCTGGTGTTACTGTAACGATGGGCACGACCGTCAACTTTGTTTTAAAATATCTTCAGCTTTCTAGCTCTCCTATTTTATCTATTTGTTTTTTATTACAAAATCTGACTTTCTTACTGTCATAAGGCGATCTGTTCACATTTCAAAGCATCAAAGATTTATTTTTTTGAATTCTCTAAGACAACATCTGTTTTATACATATACCATTAATAGTTTCAGGGTTCCTCGAGGTGGTGTAATGGTTAGCAAGCTTGTCTTGGCTGAGTAGTGAGTTCAATCCTCACTGGGTGCCCCTTTCGGACTTGTGCCACATCCAAGCTACGCTTGGAAAATCACTAGGGTACCTCGAGGCGGTGTAATTGTTAGCAAGCTTGACTCGACAGAACAATTATGACTGAGTAGTGAGTTCGATCCTCACTGGGTGCCCCTTACTTTCGGCCTTGTGCCACATCTAAGCTACGCTTGGAAAATCCCTATACCATTAATAGTTGCATCCAACTGTACAGTTACGTGATATATGTCCTCATGTATGGCAGCGAATGCTGGAGAATCTCCACAAAGATGAAGAAAGCAGACATCACAAATTAAACAGCCGGAGTATAGTGATTATTCATTATTGGGTGGGAACGGGAATCCACTAGGAATTGCGCAAGCGGCATAAAATAAATCATGTAAACCAATGGTGATAGTCTAATCTCAATGGCGATACTAGCTGTTGCGTCTCCACAGCCTCTGCTGTATCTCAAAGCCGCGCCATTGCGTCGCAATTGTTTCTACTATATCCCCGGGAATCTCATTAACAGCTTCATCTACAACTTGGGATATCGATTTAGATTGACGATGAGCTCTTGGTAACTTACAGACTATTTTACTAGTGACACTCCACTGTTCACTCCCAGACCTAAGACAATCGACCCAGTCCGTATAACACTGAAGAAAATAGCTGCTAAATTGGCTTGGAAGATGAGTTAGCAAAGGTAATGTCTCCTCTCCTAGTTAATGGCTATGTTATGTTCTTCTTTTATATGCCGTGTCCCCACAGGCGATCATGGCCCTTCACATCTTCTTGTTCCTTGTAGCTCTTAAAAAACTTTGTTTTTTTTTTATTTCTCCCAAACACTGTTCTACCATCGATTTACTCAAGCTCATCAAGTATGTTACGCGTTGCTTTCTTTTCCCTCAATCTGTCCTTGTGAGTATCAGATTTTCCAAGCCGTCCTTCCTCTTTTTGTGCCCCAGATATTTCAACTGCCTCTTCCTGACAAGTATAACTTTCCATTTTGTTTCCATTTTCAAATCGGGGGATACTAAAATAAAACAAGTAGAGAAATTTAAATCTCTGGGAAGTGTTCTAACAGAGGATGGAAAGTGTGACACTGAGATCCGAACAGTTTTGGGAAGGCCAAAGATGCATTCCAAAAGCTAAGCAGTGCATTAAGAGACACCAAAAATTTAGAAACAAAGAGAAAAGTGCTGGACAGTTACGTGATATATGCCCTCTTGTATGGCAGCGAATGCTGAAGAATCTCCTCAAAGTTCAAGAAGAGACTTGAAGCAACGGAAATGTGGTTCTACAGAAAGATGCTGAGGATACCTTAGACCGAACATGTGAACAACAAATAGGTTTTGGAGAAAATGGAAAAAGAAAGGAAACTTATACTTAGTACCAGGATGAGGCTGTTGAAATATCTGAGGCATGTAATGAGGGTAAAGAAGGCTTGGAAAATCTGATACCCACAGGACAGATTGAAGGAAAGATGGACAGAGGAAAGCACTTGATGAGCTTTAGTAAATGGATGGTAGAACAGGGTTTGGGACAAATAGCAAAAAGAGAAAACTTATTAAGAGCTACAAGGAGCAAGAAGATGTGGAAGTCCATGATCGACTATGTCTTGAAGGGATGCGGCACATTAAAGAAGAGGAATACATAGGTTCTTTTTACATTAGGGCCAGAAATGTAGGCATAATTCCGGTTTATACTAAAGTCAAACCGTTCAATAAAGGGTGTTCCAATAACTTGGTTCGATTTAAAATCTGAATTGAGTTTAAGCGGCTAATGATTTTTTTCTTTTCCTTTCAGGTTTAACAACTTAAGTCTTTGACAATTTCAACCATGGAAGAACGTGTTAAAGTTATCGAAGCCTATTACGAAAATGGACGTTCAAACAGAATTTGAATGAGAATTTCCCAGGTCGCATCATCTCTCGAAAGAGCGAAGTCAATTGGCCACCACGATCGTATGACTTGACGCCTTTAGATTTCTTCCTTTGGGGTCATCTCAAATGTAAGGTCTAGGCCAACAAGCCAACAACAATTCAACACCTGAAGGATGAGATGATAAAGCATATTTGGTGAAATCAAGGAGCAACTATGCAGAGACTGTTAGACATTTCCATGACGGTCGTCCTTGAGTATTGAATCTAGGGGTTGGCAGTGAATATTTCGGAGACAGTAGGAAAGCGTACTTTAGGTTCGCAGTGGATATCACAGCAGAGTGTAGTTCATCCTTCTCCTGGTCGCCTTTGGTCCTTCCGGTAGACGAAACAAGATGGCCGCCTTTATACACGATGAATACAGTGTTGGGCGGCTTCTGATTGGTCAACCTCCCATTGGTCGACTATAAAGGGAAATAAGTCATTCTGACTCACTCACTAGTTATACGCAATATATACCCAAAAAACCGTAACAGAGACGTCATCAAACATTTTGACCATTGAGTGTAGATGTGCCGCCAAAGCCTTAGCGGACATTCAGTTGATATTATTTTTCACGCATAATTGCCATAACTTAAATAACATGATCCAATAGAGAAATAAATAAATTTTCACCAATAACACTGATTTATTTACTGCTGACTTTGATCCGTCTTAATGAAACACCCTTTACTATCCATAAAATAAACCAAAAATGATTTATTGCAAAACATTTTTATAAGTAAACCCTTTGGATCATTCCTCCATCAGACCCCATGCAAAAAACATTCCAATAAAAAAAAGACTCTACAAAGCAGGCAGTGACACAATCATACCAATGTCTGTTATGAAAACGAATATTCAAAATTATAATTTATAACGCTTTTTCTGTAATACTGAACGGTTTTGCCTGAGTAGAATTTTTCAATGATAGCAAGTGGGATGACTATGTCATGTCTCTTAAGAACAGTGGGCAGTAATTCTTCTTTAGAGTTTCTTTTCTTTTGATGCATTCAGCAATATTTGCTCTTTGTCTAAGTTATTGGAATAATCTATATATATTTTAAATGTGAATTAAGTTTAAGCGTCTAATGTTTTTTCTTTTTCTTTCAGATTTGTCGGACATTTAGTCAATATTATCTTTCATACATAATTGTCATGACTTAAATAACATGATTCAATAGAGAAATAAATACATTTTCACCAATAACACTGATTTATTTACTGTCGACTTTGATCGTCTTAATGAAACACTTTTATATATAATCCGTCTTAATGAAACACTCTTATATATAATCCGTCTTAATGAAACACCCTTATATATAATCCGTCTTAATGAAACACTCTTATATATAATCCGTCTTAATGAAACACCCTTATATATAATCCGTCTTAATGAAACACTCTTATATATAATCCGTCTTAATGAAACACTCTTATATATAATCCGTCTTAATGAAACAATCTTTAAAAATCCACATTACACTAGAATAAATGGGTAGACATAGGTCTAATCTAGTTAATGAGGAACCTGTGGAGTTGTTTCGCAACATGGACACTTACATCTTTTCGGATCACTTCGGTCGGTAATCAAATATTTTCTAGTTTCGCGTCATCCATGAAAAAAACAACAACAAAAAACAGGCACCAATTAAAGTTGGAGGAGTCAGTCATTAAGACAAACTTCCACCTCCGTTTTTTTTTTGTACATCATTGAGACCTGCTAATTATTGATAGATTTGACAGGCAATGCGCTCGAACTCAGTATGTGAGAAATGACATCATTCAAAATCGAAGGATCGTGGATCTCTCGGAAAAGTCTGAAATTGTTTAAACATTTAGAAATGAGTGGCCTGCTCATCCTACAAAAGATATGTTTGACTTGTCCCTGATAAATCTGGGGCAGAAATCTCTCAAAGACCGATAAAGATAGCGCACTGGTTCGGCAATATAACTCACAAATATAGCCATAGTACAGTACAAGTTGTCTAACAGACAATGAATAGTACTCAATGGAAAAGGTTCTGTTGGTGTAGTGGAACCGCATTGGTTAAAATCATAAAGAATTATTGTTATTATTATTATTATTGTTGTTGTTTGCGTGTTATATTTCCTGCTTTGTATCCTCTAGAACCGGGTTCAAAGTATAGTTCATAAGCCCTATAGGAGAATTGTGATTTAATTGATAGCACATTTCTTAGTATATGGGATGTTGCTAGTGGGACGATTTTCTGAGCAACTTGTATGTTGATGTTACCTCGGATTGTCCATTCTTTTTCTCACGAATCCCAGTCCTCCGATTACTATTGGTACAGTCTCAGTCTTCATTCCTCACATTGTGTTAATCTCGATATCCAGGTCCTTGTATTTGGAGAATTTCTCGATAATTTTTATGGAGGTTTCTTCTCGGATGGTACTGCTACTTAAATAAGCATATAATTCCTAAATTTCTTGTCCTTTTATTATTATTATTATTATTATAATAATAAAAAAATAGTATTATTCTCACAAGTACAGCCCAAATCTTACGAAGGGCTTTATCTATGTAAAACTGCATAGTAGAAAAAGTCATGATATCACTTCTGATTTTAAGTCTCTGGTCGGGACCCGGAAAGAAATGAATATATACTAGAAATCAAAGGAAATAAAATAATAATAAATGTGTCACTTAAGAACTAAAACAGTTCTTTTGTGGTTGGAGCTTTAGGTCTGATATAAAACGGAACTCAAGAACAAATCAACAAAATGACTGGTCTACTATTTCTTCAGGAAATCCCGAAAAATATTTATTACAAGCACAGCTCATATCGATAGAGAGGGTGAGATAAAGAGAGTGAGATCGACAGGGTGAGATAGAGAGGGTGAGATAGACAGAGTGAGATAGAGAGTGTGAGATAAGAGATGAACCAGAGTGAGATAGAGAGGGGTGAGATAGACAGAGTGAGATAAACAGAGTGAGATAGAGGGGTGAGAGAAAGAGGAGATAGACAGGGTGAGATAGAGAGGGGAGATAAAGAGGTGAAACAGAGTGAGATAGAGAGGTGAGATAAAGAGAATGAGATAGATAGACCATTTGAGATAGAGGGTGAGATAAAGAGAGTGAGATAAACAGAGTTCAGATAGAGACAGATAAAGAGAGTGAGATAGACAGAGTCTATAGAGAGGGTGAGATAAAGAATGAGACAAACATAGATAGAGAGTAGACAAAGAGAGAGATAGACAGGAGGAGAGATAGAGGGTGAGATAAAAGAGTGAGATAGACAAAGGGAGATAGAGAGGGTGAGATAAAGAGAGTTCCTAAACAGAGAGATAGAGAGGGAGAGATAAAGAGAAGATAGACAGGGTGAGATAGAGAGGTGAGATAAAGAGAGTTTCTAAACAGATAGACGACAGACTAAAAAAGTGAGTGAGATAAACAGGTGAGATAGAGAGGGTGAGATAAAAGGAGAGATAGACAGGAAAGATAGAGAGGGTGAGATAAAGAAATTGAGATAAACTGTAGATAGAGAGGTGAGATAAAGAGATTGAGATAGACAGAGTGAGATAGAGGGGTGAGATAAAGAGAGAGAGATAAACAGAGATTTTCCGGGTTAGATAAAGAGGATCTAAACAGAGTGAGATATTTAGGGTGAGATAAAGAGGTGAGATAAACAGGGTCAGATAGATCTATAAAGAGAGTGAGATAAACAGGGATCTTTAGAGATCTGAGATAAAGATCAAGATAGACAGGATCATTAGAGAGGGTAGATAAAGAGAGGATCTAAACTATCTGAGATCTAGAGGGTGAGATAAAGAAAATTTTCTCATAGAGTGAGATGACGCGTGAGATAAAGATACAGATTTTCAGAGTGAGATAGAGAGGGTGAGATAAAGAGGGTGAGATAGACAGATCTAGATATCTATCTATCTATAAAGAGATCTAGATAGACAGGTGAGATAAAGGGTGAGATATATATATATATAAATATATATATATATATGAGATAAAGAGACTGAGATCTCAGGGTGATATAGAGAGGTGAGATAAAGAGTGAGATAAAACAGGGTCTATAGAGAGGGTGAGATAAAGAGGTGAGATAGACAGAGTGAGATAGAGAGGGTAGATAAAGATGAGATAGACAGATCAGATAGAGAGGGTGAGATAAAGAGAGAGGAGATAAACAGGTCAGATAGAGAGGGTATGATAAAGAGAATGAGATAGACAGGGTGAGATAGAGAGGGTGAGATAAAAGAGAGTGAGATAAACAGAGTGAGATAGAGAGGGTGAGATAAAGAGATATATATATGAGATAGAGATATATAAAGAGATATAAACAGGGTGAGATAGAGAGGGTGAGATAAATAAATATATATAGACAGAGGAGATAGAGAGGTGAGATAAAAGAGAGTGAGATAGACAGAGTGAGATAGAGAGGGTGAGATAAATCTGATCAGATAAACAGAGTGAGATAGAGAGGGTGAGATAAAAGATAAGATAGACAGGGTGAGATAGAGGTAAGGAGAAAAGAGAGTAGATAAACAGAAATCAGATAGATCTTTGTGAGATAAAGAGAGTGAGATAGACAGGGTGAGATAGAGAGGGTGAGATAAAGAGAGTGAGATAAACAGAGTGAGATAGAGAGGGTGAGATAAAGAGAGTGAGATAAACAGAGTGAGATAGAGAGGGTGAGATAAAGAGAGTGAGATAGACAGAGTGAGATAGAGAGGGTGAGATAAAGAGAGTGAGATAAACAGGAGATAGAGAGGGTGAAATAGATAACTGTCACCAATTTGTGTTGGAGGAGGCGGCCTTCAAAACAAACTTGCATGTCCTGTCTATTCGTCTGCATATCAATGAGACATGAATAATGATTATACAGAGAGATAACTGGAGAGGAAGAGTGAGTGAAAGAAAAAATAAAGGGATAGGCAGACAGATAGAGAGTTCCTAAAGAGACAAACGTGAGAGAAGAAAAGAGAGAAGGAGAGAGAAAGAGCGGGTTTCTAAAGAGATAACGACAGACTAAAAGTGAGTGATAAACATAGCAGAGAAAGAGAAGGTTGATGGAGAGAAGACTAGAGAAAAGGAGTGAGTGAAAATTGTCACCTGTATATGCGCGAATGCATTGAGAAAAGAAAGAGAGATTTGACTATATCGACAGAGAGAGAGAGAGAGAGAGAGAGAGAGAGGGACATTTTCCGTTTTATCTATCTATCTATCTAAACCTGATCAATATCTATTTATCTATTTAGCTAGCTGAATTTGATCATTATCTATCTCTTTCTAAATATATATGATCTTTAACTATCTATCTACCTATCAATATAGATATGATCATTATCTATCTATCTATCTATCTATCTATCTATCTAGCTAGCTAGGAAAATTTTCTCAGAGTTGACGCGTCGGATAATGATACAATTTTCCTTTTGTCTTTTACCTTTACGCCTATCTATCTATCTATCTATCTATCTATCTATCTATCTATCTCTATCTATCTGATCATTAACTATATATATATATATATATATATATATATATATATATATATATATATATATATGATCATTAACTATCTATCTCTCTCTATATATATGATCATTATCTATCTATCTACCTATCTATCTGTCTATTAGTCTGTTTTATCTATCTCAACCTGATTATTATCTATCTATCTATCTACCTCAATCTGATCATTATCTTTCTTTCTTTCTTTCTTTCTTTCTTTCTTTCTTTCTTTCTCAACCTGATCATTATGTATTTATCTATCTAGCTAGCTCAATCTCATCATTATCTGTCTATATGAATACGATCATTATCACTCTCTCTGAGTATATATATATATATATATATATATATATATATATATATATATATAATATAAATATATATATATGTGGGGGGGGGTTGGTGTGTGTGATCATTATCTATTTATCTGTCTATCTAGCTAGCTATCTCAATCTGATCAGTAGTGATTGATAGAGTCTCTCAATAATAAAATAGAAAGATAGTGGTAAGGAGAAAATTAATTCCTGTAAATCAGAATAATCTTTGCGTTGTATATTGAGAATTTAACACAAAAATTTCATCTGATCAGTAGAAGATGTAAACAAATTCTAGTGATACATTGCAACAGTCACGTACAATTTTACTTAACTCCTTAAGTCGAAGACTGCATAGAAAGAAAGTCATGCCGTTTCGTATTTTATGAATCATTATAAATTCACTTGACGCAAATTATTTCAAATTTGCATTGCGCTGAAAGGAGACGGTAGGGAAATTGTCAAATCGATCATTATCGCCAGACAATCATTTCTTTTTTTTTTTTTTTAAATTATTCTACAGTTCTTAAATTTTTCCTTTCTTTTGGCTTGCAAATGGTTTTAAACTGCACGTGAGCTAACATATATAAAATTGAAACCGGAAGGAGAATAGTATTGACCGGGTTGGGCGAATACATAATGGCGTAACATATTTTGATGAATACGTGAATAGTATGTGATTTCCATACTTTTTGTGTCTGATTTTCATATAATTATATATGTGAAAATATATTTTGTTTATCTATCTATCTATCTATCTATCTATCTATCTATCTATCTATCTATCTATCTATCTCAGTATGATCTCAAACTATTATCTATCTATCTATCTATCTATCTCAGTATGATCATTATCTATCTATCTATCTATCTATCTATCTATCTATCTATCTATCTATCTATCTATCTATTAGTCTGTTGTATCTATCTCAAACTGATCATTATTTATCTCTATCTAGCTAGCTGAATCTGATCAATTATCTGTCTATATCAATATGATCATTATCTATCTATCTATCTATCTATCTATCTATCTATCTATCTATCTATCTATCTATCTATCTCGTTTAATTCATACCTGACTCTCAGTATGATCATTATCTATCTATCTATCTATCTATCTATCTATCTATCTATCTATCTATCTATCTATCTATCTCGTTTAATTCATACCTGTCTCTCAGTATGATCATTATCTATCTATCTATCTATCTATCTATCTATCTATCTATCTATCTATCTATCTATCTCTGGTAATTTTTAGTGCATCCAAATTCTATCCTTTTTCAAATCATTATTAACAAAGAAGTAAATAAACTTAAATTAAGATATAAACATTTAATTTTATCATTTTTTCAAGCAAAAACTGTAGCGTGTCCTACTTACTTGAGAAATAATTTTTTACTATTTATTTTGCAGGGAAATTTAGATATTTTAAGCAAATACAATTTTACTTTTAAATATTACATTAGCAAACATTTCTCTGTAAATGAATTTAATTACTATTTTGAAAGAAAATAGAAGCAAGCAAGATGCATAGAATTTAATTTTGAAAAGCAATTATGTTTAATTTTCGAGTTATATTTATATTTGAAAAGAAAAGAAAAACTTTAGTCAAATAAAAATTAGTAAAGACAGAATGACTTACGGTCATCATTCGTTGTGTTGAATTTTTGTTTTATGAATTTAGCTATATTTTATTTAGATTAATTTAAAAAAAAACAAAAGAACTCGCTATACACATTAAAGGACACATGGCACAGGGGATAAAGGCATTAGTTAGATCCAGTGACAGGACCCAAAGAATGTCAGTTCAATACCTGATTAAGGCGGGTGTAGGACTTGGAGAGGAGGAATTAACAGGGGATAACTGATAACTGACATCCATTAAAACACGGCACATGAAACTAGAACAGTCTACCCCAGTGAGCGAAATAAAGTACTCAGTTCGACATTCCAACCAACTGAAGAAAGCCGGAGCGTACAACGGCCGAAACGTTGTAATAAATATGGCGACAAAGATGAGGACAATAGTCGAATAGTGTAAATATAACTTTACTTTTTTACCTTCCATAAGATGGCCTAAAAATATTAATAAGTCAATAATACACACACACACACACACACACACACACACACACACACACACACACACACACACACACACAAAAAAAAAAAAAAAAAACACAAACAAACAATCAACTGCCCTTTAGGGTGATACTGATTCTGAATATACAGATAAGCCACTCATCAACGGATTAACAGAGATCCGTTAAAGCCAATCGTCCGTAGATGGGAAGGGATTATTTTTGAGTTATAAAACCACTATAGTAACTATCAGTATATATGATCCTAATGTAAATACTATAAACATGTATATATGGCATAAATAAATATATACTTAATATAGATATTTTAATCAAAATAACAAAAATAATAAATTCCCACTGCTACTTTCTTCTGACGCACGCGCTAATGTATCGTACTTTCCGTCTTTTTTTTACACATGAAACGTCCGCCACAGTCCACAAGCGGTCACTTTGAGAACTAATGCGACTCGTTCCGTTAACCCGCTATTTTTTAAATACATTGCTGACGATTTGGAAGTCTTTTTCCCACCACAGGTTATTTTTTATTTTGCATGCAGATTTTGTCCGTTGCATCCGAAGTCCGTTGATAGGTAGTTTGTCTGGATATTTATTTTGTAGTCGGACAGACAGACAGGCACATACACATACACACACAATCGAATATTTGAATAAGTAAATATTATATTTTTGTCAAATAATTGTATTTAATATTCTTCTTTTAGATTTATTTGTTGTTTTAATATTCCTTTTTAAAAATTACGCTTTTATTTACTATAGCTGTGAAAATAAATTCAAGTTTAAATATATCTTAAATTCTTAATTTATGTTTATTTACTTTTTATTAATAATATTCCCCTCCAAAATAAATAGTAAATAATTATTTTTCGAAGAAGCAAGGCCCCATATAGTTTTAGCGTTAAAAAATGATTAAATTAAATATTTTTAAATAATTTTTAAGTAAATAAACTTAGTTCATTTACTTTATTTAACCCGATACACACACTCCAATAGTTGAATAAATAAATATTAAACTTTTTTTTCAAACAATTGTATTTAATATTCTTATTCTTTTAAATTTACTTTGTTGTTTTAATATCCATTTTTACGCTTTTATTTACTATAGATGTGAAAATAAATTCAAAAGAATAAAAGTTTTAAAAATACAGACTTGCATAACATTTAACGGAATAAAAAAAGTAAAAACGAACGGTAATCTGATTCGAGAATAAGAATACTTACCGTTCGTTTTTACTACTTAATTCTGAGAAATTCGAATGCATTCTAATGCATTTTAATTTTAAAATATCTTCGTAAATCAAATCATACGATGATAATTTTTCGTTTTTTACAAAAAAAGCTGGTTTGGGTGATAATGAGTTGTTATAAATATTTACTTAAACTATTGGTGCTTTTTTTTTTTGTTTTTAACCGGGGACACACAAACACACATAAGGCAACTGCCCTTTATATGTGTATTAATTAATGATGAATTGTCATTTTCGTTTATGATCGATTTCATCACGATATTTGTGGTAAGCTTACACAGTAATTATACATTCTTATTGATGAAAGAAGAGTTCAATATTGTTATAAAAACCAGTAAGATATCTTTAATCATTTCTAAGATATAACGGTCCAGAGCTTAACCTAACAAGTGGAATATTTTGTGGTTATATATATATATATATATATATATAAAGAAAGAACAGTAAGATATATAATCCGGTGTTCTTATAGATATTTTTATTTTTACAAAATAGTGCTCAAAGTAAATTTACAGAGCATTAATATTATAAATTAATTGATTTAAAATATGTTTTTTTCGCTATACAGTTCTAACCATGTTTCAAAAATGGAAGCTGAAAGCTCCGAATTTAATTTTGTAATTAAATTAAAGACATTAGTTCCATTTCATCCTCAAGCGAATTTTGGAGTAACTTTTCGCTTGAGGATGAAATGGATCTAATGTCTTTAATTTAATTACAAAATTAAATTCGGAGCTTTCAGCTTCCATTACAATCACTTATGTGCTAATAACCTTGGGAAAGGTATTAATCCTCTTCTTCTCTCTTCAGCTATGGGTAAATAGCAAAACAGACTGGGTTCTATAGCCTTGGATCTACCAACTGGTGCAGGAGAAGGACAACTCTGAATTCAAAACCTGCGGAGGGTCGTTTGGAAACCTTGTGGCACACGGTGCACTAGGTCTCTGTATTTGGCTCTCCAAAAAGTGTGATTGGTTCTACACAAAACCTTCACCACTGTAATCAAATCATATGGCCA